GTACAATGTCGGCTTAGCTTTGTGTACTTGATGGTATGTCAATGTCCTTGGCCTGAATGAGGACCATTCTGACTCACTATAGTTTAAATTATGCTTCTGCATGTTGTATTTAATGATTACTCTGTTCTCGAATCTTCTGCGTGACCATGAACCCGAGGGATGAGATGCGTGACGTCGAAGGACCCGTAATACAACGTCACGCTGTCCGCATTTGCTTAACACATTGTTCGATGGTGTTCTTGCGATGTAACCGCTCGCAGCGTCCTCTGCGAAGCATTACCATTCACCTTCACCTCCTTGCAGATTCCGTGTCGCTTGTTCTTCTGTTTAGCTAACTCTTTTTCGCACAGTCTGACTAGAGTCCGAGAGGTCCTCATTGTTGAACACTGGGCTGCCGAAGTACATCAAGCCATCACTGAGGTCGGTGTTCTGCCGTAAGCTCTGTATCTTTCGAATTGCGGAACCACACCAGCCATTCAAGTTCTGAGTGTTAGTCACTTAGTCATCTGTTACTTACTTGATTTAAGAAGTTCAAAACATCGGATTAGGCGGATGAGCCTCCGGACTGAAACGGATTGGCCTTTGCACTAAGTATATTGAGCTCTGGGGTGGGAAGGATGCTATCGTGCTTTACTGTGTGCCAGTGAACTGCGGCAACAGTGGCTTGTGGAACTGGATGCGTATCGATCTATGGAAGACATCAACTGGGAGACGGAGATGGCGCGTGAGAACGGAGAGCAGATATCCATGTTAGGATCGCGTGTCGGATATTCGGACAAGGCCTCAGCTGGGTTCGTCATCGCTTCATTGGACCGTGCCATTATTGCCTTCGCGATCGATGAGTTTAACGACAGTAGCTGTTGTTAACCACGCGTTGTAGTAGTTAATAGCGCCCTTGTCTCTGCAGCCGGTGGTTCGATCCCCTTGTGTGCCATTTCTCGAGCCTGGTGCAAATTTTGTTCCAAGGTATTGCAATGTATCTTGCAGACAGATCAAGAATCCAGAAAGGAAACTTACGGCAATCATAAAAATAAATATCCTGATTAGGATTATTTAGTGGTATATCGACCTCAGCTTTGCGTTGTTCATGTGGGTGAAGATCATTGACAAGGGCTTGATCGGGTGGGAGCCGGATATTCCCGAAGAAGCTCTCATTCTGCCACAATCCTCTGCCACTGCATGATTTTGTCGCGAGTCCTTGCCTTCCGTCCTTTCTCGGCACTCATTCCGGAATGAATACGTCGTGTTTTCTCCAAGAGAATCAAGGACCAAGAGTTTAGATTGAGGCCGTCTTTTCTTCGGGCGAAGTGTACGTGGCGGAGATTTTGATTGCTGGGCTTGATATCGACAGGAACCCATTTTCGGAGTCAAGATTGTACAGTGTATAATTTGTAAAGACATCCCGAGGATGCCGCCCAGTCTATCATGGCTGGTGGCAGATATTTGTCTACCGTCTTCCGATGCCGTATCATTACGAGGACCCCGGAACAGTGTGCCAAACACTCGTAGATCCGTTCGTCGCTTATCCACGTCTTCAAGCTAAGGACGACACGATTATTTTGGAAGTTCTGTCATACTGAATCACGCCGTAGGTCCGTACGCACCTGGTGTTATGACTACTGCTACCGTGATTAGGAGTCCAGCCTAGGATTCTCTCCTCACTGTGTAACTTCTGTCCTCCCATTCAATTTGAACAGAATCGGACACGACATTTGGCATTGCAATCGGCGTAACATGGACCAACAAATCTGCAGCCTAGGATTATTTGGTAATTCACTCCGGGTGAGTTTCAGAAACCCAAATATTGCCGATCGTTTACTGATGTTTCTCCTGTATGTCAGTAGCGGGAATTCCTCGTGAAAGGTCGTCTTGATTGTCTCCCAGATGATCGAGCTCGCTGTTCACATTCGAGCTTCATGGCGCGGGGACAAGTTAGCATCTCTAAGCAATGCTGGAGCTACGCCCCCCTGTCGTGCTCAACGCTCTCTCATTTTCATGTTTTGATACTGCAGTCAGAGCGCATCGAGCGGTCTTCTGCAGCCATATCTTTTTGGAGTCGTCGTTTGGACGTTGCTCGCACTGATATATTCAACGTGACTCATCGCACTCGCGGCCTGTTCTTCCCGAATTGCTAGCATTCCGGTCAGTGTTCCCTTCCGTTCCTGTAATTCAGCATCTCACTTCCGGAATGCAGAATAAAAATTTACGACTGGTTCATCATGTGTGAAATCGGCCGTTGCTTTGTTTATTTCACTGTACGTTAATATCTTCTGCCTTGATGACTTTCGCCGTATGACATATTAGAACGTATTTCCGTTAGTTGTGATTGAAACTACCATGTTGTGAAGTGGTCGAGATATTGGTGTGTATTGCACACACATGGCCATGAGCCAAGAGTTCATCACCGAAGGTGTTGTAACCCGACACAGTGTGTCTGTGTTACGCCTTCAGCTACTCTTCTTCCGATTGAATAACACTGTTTCCCTCACGAAATCTGTTCAAGAGATCCAGCATTCCCATTAACGTTCGTGCAGGCAGCTCTTTCTTCTGCTCCTCAGATCTAACTCCTCTTAATACAGTTTGATTTGAGTGGGCAGTTTGTTCATAATTCGTCTTCAGTTTTCCGATGCTTCAGGTGTGTCCTACTTCGGTGGTCCGAACCACACAAGCGGCGTAAACGGTGGAGGGGGGCTCGATAAACTGACGAATGAACATTAACCGGAGTCGTTATCTTCTCACTTAAGCGAGATCAGAGACAGGAATTATTACTATAAAATGAACACGTTATCAACGGCTGTTTTCCTAAACCACCACCACCCTACACTGTCAACTTCGCCAAAGTCCACCCGGCCGGAAATACATGAGACTGATCAAAGTTTCCAGGCGCTAAAACCCGTACCATCCCACAAGTATCACGCTCTCCCTGATGATTGTCGGCGAACCACGGTTTGATCTCCCCTGCCTCTTCAGCTATGTCAGCAATCCTCTTTATTGAAAACTTCGGTACTATTGGGTTCTCGCGCAGGTCAACTTCAATTGCCAGAGAAGAACGCTCTGTGATGGAGAATTCGCTCATGAAGTCAGATATCTTTGGTAGAAGAGTCCTGTCGTGTTCGATGATTGTGACTTGAGCGAGGTAGGCGAGGTATTTCCTATCCTTCAAGCCAACCTTGGCTGATATATGATTAGAATCGCCTGGGGGCCTCAAACGTGTTTGAACTCACATTTGATACATTTAGCTTTGTGCTCCGTCTTCCAGTGTGTCCGTTGGCACGACATAGAGCAGTACTGGACGCTTTCACATTTGGAACAGCATTGCATATTCCTTCCGTATACACGTCGGCACTATGTCGAATGCAATGAGAAGAGAGCAGTTATGTCTTAGGAATGGAAGACTCACTGCAAAGCAGACATTGCGTAGTTTATCGCACACACCCCTGATTGCATAACGCTTTTGGGCGATCGATTTTAGATCTGACCAAGCGCGAACTATATCCGCCGTATAATCTTTGATGTCCACAACGACACCCTTCTTGTCCAAAGAGATGATAGAACGAATAACACAGTGGGTGACTGATCTGTAGGAGGTATAGAGTGTAATATTGTCGATAATCGAGGGAATGACGGGCTCCACACTGTAACCCTCCTCAGGCGGGAGAAGAGGCCAGATACGTAGAAGCATCTCTAAAACGCGGTTATCGACCATCGCAAGGATTATAGGGAGAGTGGGATGCGAGATACTGGCGCGTAAGAAATGTACTGTGCTGTCAAACCAGTTCAAAAGTCTGGAATTGGGAGGTGGTGGGAGACGGATGATCGTGACGGCAAATTGGCGCATGAGACTGCATATAAACCTTACGCTTTCCTCATGTATGGCCACTTCTGCTAGAATCGGTGACTTACATATGGTGATCATGAAGTTCAGACAATAACCGTTCATATCATCACCGTCATACCGAACACCGTCAGCGTAGTCCTCCAAAACTGAATCGAAGCAAAGTTTCGCCGTCTCTGCTGGGTCCACTTCCAACGGGGACCTACCGACCCATCGCGTTTCCTGCATGACTAGAATTGAATGCAATAAGCAGCTCAAATGACGGACAGCAGTATGGCAGCGTGACAGGCATGACTCGCGCCAAAATTCGACAAGGTGAGGGTGTAGCGGATCATCAGCAGAAATGATTTTCATGTATGAGACGATTCCGACGAGGGATCGCAGGCACATGGCAGTCGCAATCCTCATGTCCGTCAAATCAGAACCTACACCAGACACCGCAGGATCCTCGGATGTGCATACAGAAATGAAGTAGAGACTCCAAGCGCGTATCCCTGGCCATAATTCGACGAAGCCCGTGTCTGATCCTGGATAATAGTCTCGGTCGAGGCCCCTACATATGGCTCGAAAACAAGCCATTGCCATGATAGTGGAGGGACTGTTTGACGAGTCCCCATCGCTTGAGGGAACCTTGTCGGGGGAAAGGTGGCGCATGAAGACCTCGATGTACGAGGGGAGAATTTGAGAACCTGGAATCTCGTCTAAAACGGAGACGGAGCCTTTCATGACTTGTTTCTATGCGCAGAATGAGTACAGTCGAGATAGAATGGGGAACCGACGCCAGACCTTTCTTTGAATGGCCTCACCAGCACGTCGTGCTCTCGCGAGTATCGCAGCATCAGTAAGTTCACATCCGTATGATTAGCATGGCTCGCATGGCTTGCATATGCAATCATTTAGTCATGCGACTGCCATGCCGGCCATGTTGGCCATGCCCACTACAAGTACTATACAGCCATGACTACTAATAGGTCTTTGTGGCCTACTGGTTATATTGCTTCAACTACTTGACTGTTAGCCTTTGGTTTGATTCCCAGTACTGTCTTTTTTTTTTTTAGTATGAGCTCATCAATGACATCGAATATTTCGCTGTCCAGAGTCTCATGACATTCTCAATGTGTTATGTTTTCCACTGTAATCTTCTTTATCCTGAACAAACTTGAATCTAAAAGATAATCTCATTTGCATGGTGATCTATATACTTGTTTACATAAAAGGCAGTGAAACAGTCGAGTGAGAAGGAGTAATGAAAATCTAATGGTAGGGGGTGCCGTCCGAAAACAGGAAGAAGATGGGCACCACGTACCAAGCAATCCAGATGGACGACACTAATCCATGGTTGTTCCCCACGTCCCCGGTTATCAGGTTTCACAATCCACATTCCAGTCGTAGTGTCTGGCCGAGAGCCATGCCGTTTGAACCAATGTACCAATGCACATGGGTATTCAATCCCATCATGAGTAAAAGAGAAGAACAGAAGGACACGGACAACGCTCATGCCCTGAAATCCTGCACGCTCCTGATTCTCCACCACAAAAGCACAGTCGTGACGACGGTAACCATACCATGATGGTGTTGAACGGATACGTTCACGGTGCATCCTGCATATGCCCGATATGTCGCTAGGTGCATAATAACAGGCCACGGCCGAGTGGTATACATATACGTTCGATAAAATTGGTGGACAGTCATCGATTGCAATATCAGCATCTGAAATACCGTTGATCTGCTCGTAAAGGAAGCGACGAGTAAGATCTGGCAACAATGGCTGATGTATGTAGCGTGCCAGACGATGAAGGTCTCGAGGATAACCTCGTTCTAATGGCCAAGATTTTAGATTTGTATGAGTGGAAGCAGAATTGTCATACCTCGTGTTTGAGCTTGGAAAACATGAGCCATGACATTGTCATCATCGATTGGTCCACTATCCTCATCACCTGTATCAAAAGGCTCTGGTGGTGGGGCATGCGTGGGCGGAATCATGCCATGGTGAACAAGATCAGCAGAGAACGCATTCAGCTTGTCGAGGCGCTGGTTTGTCAGCAACATCTGACTCAGGGCATTGTAGCGGTTTGATCGTCGCCAAGGTTTTTTCACAGCGGTAATGTGTCGACTTTCTGTGATTGAGGAGCAAAGACCATTTGGGGCCCCAAACTCTATAATATGCTGGCAGTAATGGCGCATAGAATGTTGACGGGGAAGATTAAAGTCTTCTCTGACTCCACTTCTAATAAAAACATTGCGGTAGCGGTGGAATCGTTCGAGGGCCTCAGTGATTGCTTCCAGAGTGGTCTCATTCAGGTCAGAGCAGCGCATGAGATAGCAAAAGTCTAAGAATGCCGCAAGACATTTGACAATATCGGCCTCCACGTAATCTGCTATTGCTGCGAGATAGACCTTTATATTGACTTCATGTAAACATAATGCAAAGGCAATAGCAACATTGTACCATACCTTCATCAAAGCTTTGGAATCATCCCCGGTCCATTGCTTGAATCGTCGCCCGTGTGGAAATCGCCTTAATCCTGGGAAGGGAGGTGTCGCAGCGATTCTGGAACATACGTGATTGGAAATTGCGCCCTACGGCTAAAACAGCGAGCTTACCTTCGATCTATATCATGCATAATTTCTTTACCTCTCGCTGCACCCACAGTACTTGTGAGATAGTCTCCTATCCATTCAACAAGGTGGTCTTTGAAGGATCCCTTGATAATTTGATGCAGGAGATCAGCCGTGAGGATTTCGTGGATATCTGCACGGGGAAATTCCTCCGTGAACGGCTTGATTGTTGAATGATGAGCTCTACATAAGGACAGATATACCATTACATACCTGAATTTCATCGTCAATACCATAGTTGTCCCAGAGCAAGGTGCGATTATCAGAAAACTCCTCTCGGAGCTTCTGTGAATGCTCAAGAGAGCATGGTCCAGCAGGAGTCTCTAAATCCGTCGCCAGTGCAGTACATCTGAGCACATGTGAGATTACAAACACAGAGACTGTGGTATAGACATACTTGACACACCACCCTGATACTATGCTGGCAAGCAGCACTTGTTCTGGATAGTCAGCTATATAAGAGGCCAAGTCATAGATGACGCGGCGAAAGTGGCCGTCAGGGCACTGTCGAACTACAGGCGATGTCATCCCTGGTTTAAGGGATCGTAAAATTGCAGCCAGTGAAGCATGGTAGAGTTTACGCTTGAAGGTGCAAAACTGGGCATCATTGTCATACCTACGGTCAGCTGTTTGTCGATGATAAATCAGTGTCCAGCTCTTGACAGGAGAGACAATGTACATTTAGGTATAGCAAGGAAACCAATCGGGATAACAGCATTGCGATGGGCCCGGCGTGCACGATTCAGGATGTTGCCAATGGATAGGTAGACTGGGTGATATTCAACATTGCCAGTTGCAACTGAAACAGTGGTCTTGTCGCTTCCTATGATCACTGGAACATACATGGTACCATATGTGGTCGGATCGTTCTCGTAGATCTGAGTCTGCACAGACTATGAGTCAGTAGCATGTTCGAATCAAGCATAGAAGACCATACCGCATGCCGCCATGAGAAGTTGCCTGACATAAACTCACTCCAACGGCGCTTCCCATCTGGCCCGATATCGATATACGGCGATGTCTCGAACTCTTTCTCAAAGTCGGGATTTGCTAGCATATTTGCGATAACTGTGTCTGGATCCCTGTACCACACTTGGTATGTCTGGCGCTGCCACTCGGGTGCAGATAGAGGGACATCATTCGGCGGTGGGCACACAAAGCACTTCCAAGGCGCACTACCAAGTTTGATCGAGTCGATATCCTGGTACAGCTCCTCGTGATTGGCATACGGGCCAAGGTTGATGCCATGCTCAAGCCCAGACAGAGACCATAACTCCATGAGATAGTCAATATTTCCCTGCGACATCTCCTCCTTCTGAAAGAGGAAATCGGCCACTTGAAATTCAACCTCTCCATTAAACGGTGCCCACGCATTTTCACTTGGCGGTGGTGGTGGTGGCGGGGGAGAATTTGGTGGAAGATCATTCCCGAATTCATCACAGGGGGTGCCTGTTCAGAAAGAGGTTAGTTGAAAGTCCTTGTAAGCATGCCAATGAGTGCACCCGTAAGATAGGGATGATATTGCTTGCCCATCTGAGAACCTAAGTCTGGGGGGTCCACCCGGTCATCATCTACACTAAAAGGCGATGCTTCTTCATCATTGTGTGCCAGTGACGAGGACGAAGTAGTGCAATTATGGCTGCAGGGGACATTGGTGCTTCCAGATCTATCATTGGCTGGTGTACTAGGAGCCATCAGATTCTGTCGATGGATGGCTACATGCTGGGTGCATCCTTTTTGTGATAGAAATGTCTTTCCACATCCATAAGGACACGGAATGCGATCTGTGATATGTCGGGGCACGGCGCGTGGCATAGCTGCAGGAGGAGAGAAAGAAAAAATAATGAGCCGACGCTAATTTCCAAATTGAAAGGCGTTGCTTACCAAACCATGTTGGGAATTTTTATCCTAAGTCCCGCCTTCCGCATTTCCGCATTTCCCCTGGTCACCCTAACCATCCATGTCAGAGCCTCCAACAGCTACTCGTACTCGTGGGAGTAAAGTCGCCATCCCTCCCGAGCTGAGGAAGCGGACACTTGAGCAGATTCGCGAGGAGAAGGCAGTGAAAGAGAAAGCATTGTGGGAGCAACGAGGAAGGAAGGAGGCTGAAAAAAAGGCGAATCACAAGAAGCAGGCAGCTTCGCAGGTTAGGATCGCAGCATTCGAGGATGCACAGGCTGTTCAGGCTAAGGATCATTACTCTCTCCGACCAGATCTTCATATGAAAGACTTACCAAAACCTCCTTTGCGACAGAGTAGCCGATACACTCCAAAAATGGACCCACCCGCCATACTCTCAGCTCTCGAGGACATCGCTAATGGAGATCTACCTGCAGATGCATGTGCAGAGGTGGAATCCAGTTCCGCTGATCTGCCAGGATCTCGTCCCACCAGTCCATCGCCATTTGACATTGGAGACGCCGATATTGGAGACGACGAAGTTGCACGATATGACCCTAGTGATCTACCACCTGCCACCCTACCTCCAGATACCGATTCTGAGGGTGTGATGGATGTCGACAACGCCACGGACGGGGACTCAAGTGAAGGTCCTTTAGGAGCCACCAACGTTCACAACGATGACGATGACGATGACAGTAGCGAATGGCAACCATCCTCTGATGTGGACATGCCTGCGGAAAAGGCCAACAAGCTGACGGAGGCAGAGAGAGAGGAATGGGAGGCGTTCCGACAATGGAAGCATGCACAGGCTAAGGAACAGCGGAAGGTGATAGCCAAGCATGAACGGGATTTGAAGGCCGAGAAAGCTAAGGTAAATACGTCAAACCCGGTGGATGTGAGACTGACAAGCCACCTACAGAGAGCGAAACAGTCTATCCGTGCATCGATCAATGCCTCACGCCAAATTGTACCAGCTCCGGTTGGTAAGACGGCTAAGTCTCAGAAGAAGTCTGCCAACAAACGCAAGGAATCTGAGACTATAGAAGAAAGGTAAGTGATGCAGTATTTTCTTTATGCTTGGAACTTACGACACATCTCAGACAAGATCCTCAAAAACGAAGCAAAGCAAGCACAGAGATCGGAGGGCTGTCTAAAAGCTGGCGCTCTACCTCGACACGGTATCACGAAGAGATCACTGAAGACAACGATACAGCATTCAATTATGGAGGCGCGCTTGAAAAGGAAGAAGGGAAAGAGGCGCTTGCAGCAGCCAGACAAGCCAAAGGGGAAAAGAAAAGTGACATCAAGGTATATCCTGTTATCTGCACACAAGCTGAGACTGACATTGTTTGCAGAGAGAGCGCGAGGTAATCCTGCAGGCAGCAGATGTGAAAGCGATTGACACGAAGGAGCATGAGAAGAAGCCGGTGAAACCGCGCACCAACTGGACGAATAAGGACTTGCCCCTTGCATCTTCTGATTTGCATGCGTGGCAGCACAGATTTATTCCCCGAATCATTGACTGGGGTGCTACTCTCGGCGACCCATTTGGTTCCAATAACCACCCCGATTTCAAGCCCACCGTTGCCAAGGAATGGTGTCTACACTTTGGCAAGCTCCCACAGACAGTTGAGCTCGATGGTAAAACGATCAAACGCGAAGAGCATCCTGCTATTTACCATGTGGTATGTACCTTTATCTTTTGTGAACAGGCTCTTAGAATTCCGTCAGGCTATGTCTGGCATGCGCACTTATCGAAGTGAAGTGGGCAAATATGCCATTACATCGATCGACAACATCTGGACGCAGGATGATATGAAAGACTACAGCACAGTCGAACTGCGCAGGGACTGGGTTGCAGATCAGTTAGCAGGAATGCGGTTTCTCTACGAGTTTCCTGATGCCGAGGTAAGTGGCCGCTATTCTATGCACTCCAATTTATCTTTACTAATGCCTCCATGTATACCTGCAGAAGAAACAGCGTGGTGCTTTTCGAGGGCGGCTCATCCTCGACGTCTTTGCCTTCCACGTCAACGTTGTGTTTGCAGCTACTTAGCAAGCGAATGGCAGGAACTATGGTGATCCTGCGGGGGCTCTCGCGTTGGTTTGTGCAGCGGTACGTGGTACTGATCATGTCACAGGTCTTAAACAGCTGACATTCATGATCTAGGTCCGCCGCGTGCTAACCATCTGGCAAGGTGGCTTCAACTCTCTCTCTGCCAGCACGTCAACGACAACCAGTAAACGGAGCACCAAGAATTCGTCAGACAGCTTCAAGGACGATCCCTGGGGTAGAGAAGCGAAGACAGTATATTTCCCAAGAACCAAGGAGCTCAACCAAGAGAAATGGGACGACATCTTTTATCGTTGCGAGCAGATCTTGAAAAAGCGAGGTATTGCGACTAAGGAGCAAGTATCAGAGGCAGTGAGTGCTACAGGCAAGTCGGGCCTCGTAGCTGATGAGATCGATCTCTCGGATTAATGGTGCATGCTTCAGTTTTTGTGCTACGCTTCAAGCGGTCTGCTAACGAGTTCATTATCACCAGGACTTGGAGTTGCATAATGTCTGCCAGTGCGGGGAGATTTCGGATTGGCCGATGTATCGCAGTCTTATATTCTTTGGCTACGTCTTATAGTACATACAATTCTTCAATATGAGATCTCCTTCATCTATCCAGATACTGGCCGTGTGATCCCGTATACTATTCAAATGAAAAAATTGCCTCGCAGAGATGTGGCTGTATGGCCACGTATGATACTGTCCATATAATTGTGCATGGCTGATACATGACTCACGCGAAATAGCCCGTGGAAATACGTAGGTACCTTGTGAAGCCATGCAGGATCGTAGCCATGTGGCTCGCATGACTTGCATGGTACCATGTCAACCACACGTATGTCAACTTACTGATGAGGATTGGTAGGCATCGAGAAGAGCTCCCTCGAAAGGCTGGGAGATACCAAAGAGCAAAAGGCCAAAGTAGTTCGGATGAAAGAGGTTTTCCAAGCGACCCTGAAATACCCTGTGCTATTTTAGGGGCACCTGCCGAGCTGTTTCATCATCCCAGAAGTCAACGTAAGTGCAAACGGGCATCTCCGTGGCTTGTAGCGAATACGCTCACCGTCAGGAACCCGAGATATCAATGGGTCAATCCGTGCTTTTGATTCTGGCCGTCGAGGGAGGGGGGATAGTCCGTTTTATCATATCCTAAATATACCAGAGATGGATACCGAAGTTTAGAGAATACGTACAAATATAATTTTCTGGCTTTATAAAGTTGGGGAATTGGGTCCTGAACTGGAATATACTGACCTATGTATTCCCTCGCTAATTGAATTTTGTTACCAGAGGCAAAATACTGAGAGAGAAACCTGGCCTGTCCTCGATAATGACGACTCTGCGAAATACGGATCTTAGATAACGGCGGCCATTATATCCGTCTTGTATCTCTGCATTGTAGCTGTCTGATTCAGAGTCACCAGAACTGGATGAAGAGCCACTCGTAGGAATGTCTAACCACCAGGGGGAAAGACGGAAAAAGTTATAAATTCATACAGGAATCAATTACTGAATTATCATCTCACGGGCAAGAAGTAACATCACTGTCAGGACTGACCCGGATGAAAGGACATTTGCCGCTCCCAACTCCGAAGCCGCTTCGATGATGTCCGCAATGGGAGAGATTGTTTGACCCCTAATTAACGTCGTAGGCCTCGTCCACCCTTCCTTAATAGGCATACGCTCTTCACAGAAAAAGATATCCACAAAACTATACCATTATTCAGTCAATTCTAATCCGACTGGCAATGAGACGGACGTACTTTTTGGGTGCAACACCCGTCACCAGATCACCCATAACACTCAGATAAAGCACAGACTCCTGAGTGCGTACAGTGAACTCCTTCACGGTGTTCAAGGGCACCTAACCAATTGATATATCAAAGACTGGTCGATATACATCGCCGTGATATATCAATGCTCAGGTCTTACAGTCTACGAAGCGATATATCAGCTGCACATGGGCATCCCGTGACTGCTTCCGTCGCCATAATGTCCTGCTCGTTTCAACGTCGGTTCCCCGCCCTAAAAAACCCACTCATCGCCATTCTGTCTCGCAGCATCGAACTCGACAAAGTCGTCGTTGGCGGTACGAGGCTCCAGTGGTGCGCATGTTACCTATCGAAACGTTGTATGCACATGTCTTGGTAGAAATTGCATTTATCACAGTGAGTTCTCGACTTTGCGAAAGACTGGGCCAATGGGACTACGGTGTTCGATTGTCCGCTGAGAGGATGAATTGAATGGAGATGACATAGAGGTAACCTTCTTTCAGAGGCTTCGACAACAGCGAGTTCTTGAAAATAGCATGTAGACCTCTGCCGTCTGGAGCCTGTGAAGATGGTGGGGCAAAAGCAATATTTATGCCTGTTTAAGCTTGATTATTGGAGTCATTCTGGGCGTAGAAATATTTCCATAAGAATGACCCATCAGAAATCAACCAGTGGGGCGAAAAGAAAGACTTACGGTAGTGTGAACGTTCCGTCGGCAGAACCTCAAGTCCTCTTCCCACTATTTTGTCCATATGTCTCTTGCCTGGCGACTTCAATGCCTAAGTTTGCCTGCACAGGCATCGGGGCTCCGCTGCCCTCCATCATTCCCATGAATGCCTGAGATCGTTGAAACCACTTTAACATGTCTGGCAGGACTAACTTTTGTTGCTGACTCGTCATCCTCCCGGTTGGGATAAAGTAACCTTCCAGCCTTTGAATGACATCTGTGAGAACAAATCCAAGAGAGAAATGATGCGTCTATCCACCTACCTCGATCATCCCTCCCGCTGGGACGCTCCGTGCTATGAATACTCCTTCGAATCATCATGAAGGCAATCAACCGATCCACTTGTGTCACGGAATTCTCCTCCCGCTAGTATCCTTCCTCACAGACCACAACGTCACCTTATCCATGCACCTTGGTGACGTGTTCGGGAATGGTAGTCGTGACTCGTGAGTGGATTGTCATAACGTCGGGCCGGACAATTTTGCGCAGTGCTTCGGCCCCGAAATATTCAACAATGAGGACCTGATTACAGTTACGGGCGTTCATATGCATATGCTATTGATAAAATACGAACCTGAGCAGTTTCCTTTCTTCCAGCACGAGAACTCGATTACGGGATGATCGAGAGATGACGGAATCTTCGACGAATTCCCACGGAAACACGTAGCGGGTCCGTGTGCATCCCGTGTCCAGGGTATTGCTTCCGTGATTGAAAGTCCGATCCAGAGCTTCCTTCCCTCTAACTGCCACTTCACTAGACAGGTCGATCCGGCTTGTCCAACTGTTCAACTCGCGTTCCTACGGATGCCTTCAGGTAAGCCTTTACCGCAGACTCGGACGATGTTTGGCCTCACCATTAGCGACAAAACGAGAGGCCGAGGGATATCTTCCAACTGGGGTGACTGAGAGGTGCTCGCTCTTGGTGAGTCACAAAACCCATAATCTCGCTCATCGTTCGTTGATGTGAATCTTGTATCCAGGTAGTAGTACCTTCTCACATGAGCTGGTTGTCGTCGTCCACAGCCCTGTATGACGGAGGTCGCCTTTCGAATTGAAAACGGAGCAGGGATATGACGGATTCTCCTTGCAGCGTTTTAAACGATAGTTCTAATTGCTTCTCAAAGCTTTCTCCTTCTCATACTTCGCTGCCGCAGACTTTTCTCCCCCTGATTCGAAGAATGAGACTGGCCGGACGAGCCTACATCGCTCGTTCTCGATGTATACATCTGCTTGTTATGTCATCATGCAATGAACAATGAATGTCACCCTGCTGTCCTTGATGCATCATGGTGTATTCTTTCTTAAGGATTCTGAGGTGATACGCCTGCCTGGCGTCTACCCTTGGAAAACACGTATAAATCTAATTTTATTATCCTACAAACTACGTTTGTAGCTGTGCGAGTAAGAAAGAACCTGCAAGGTACACAGCAAGAAGTGTTAAACCCCACTGCGTCAGTAAGGACTCAGCCGTGACAAGCCTAAGGGCTTGGGCAACAGGCCGGTGATCCGATGACTCAGCCCGAGTGACCGAAGGTCCAGGCAGGTCGAAAGCACATGGCTCCAGCCGACCCGGCATCCCAGGCACTGATGGCCGCCTGATGGCATCGGTCCGAAAGTAAGAATAACAAAACAAAGAACGATCGCGTACGGCTTTACTTACCTGGCAGCTTTCCTAGTCTCTCAGGCGGACGGTTGGCTCGCCGGGTAGATGAGAAACAAGAACCGTAACACCAGGGGCTCTGACCCGGTACAGGTAAAACTTAGTATCATGAGCCAGGACACCAGATTGCGGCACAATATCATGATCGGGTTCACCTGGGAGCCGGGATATGAGCTCATATCTGTCAGGAAGTGAGCTCATATCCACCCGGCTCAGTCAGCGAGCGCAGTAATAGTACCTGGAAAGATTGGAAATATAGATAGGGTAGAATAGTATAAATACTGTCCATGTAACTAGCGGGAGGTCAGGTTTCTGACCCCCGGAACGCTACCAAGCAAATTAGTATGGGTTTTGGTTAAGAGCTTCGAGTCCTAGACTCACCTGGAATTGTATTTAGTGACCTGGTCACGTTTTGTGTGCAAGAACCGTTCAGAAAGCAGTCAGTTCAGAAAGATACAGACAGTCAGTCAGAAGTACAGTCCAGAATCCGTGTTAGCACCAGTAAAACTGCAGCCAGGCAGACAGTATCAGTTCAGACACTGCACCAGGCAGTTAGTACGCATTCAGGAAACTGCACCAGGCAGCCCGTTGGTATCAGATTGTGTTCGGTAACACAGAAAGTCCAGATTTGTGTCGTTTCAGAATATTGCAATCAAACAAATTATATTCATTATCAACCCGGAACTAGTATCCACAGTACAAGCATCGACCCGGTGTAACTTACCCCTTCGAACCGCAATTATTGAGTGTGTTAGGGTGTGTGTGTGTGTAGCACTTCACCTTCCTTAGCATAGTTAGTACCTTTCAGAGGTAATCACCCTAATTTTCGAGTCTTGACCTTCATACGATCTGACGTCTCGCTTCTAGGATGGAAGGTAGTACACCAATTGTGGACCATGCATGGATTCGTCAAAGGCGCCTGTTTCGCCTTACGTACATACCTGTACATTGATGTCACATGACTTAATGATGCACCTTTCCTCACCCATCATGCAACGATTTAGGTTGTATCTCCAAATCTTTGAATGTACACCTATAGCGTTTTCACACCTTCATGCACGAGTACTCTATCTGATCCTGAGCAACGAACCAAGAATTGAAGTCGTCTGTGTGGAAGGACCCACCACCTGACGCCGCGTAGACCGTTCTTTATTCTGTTACCCGGTTGTGTCCTTTGTATACCAAAACGGGTGTTGCTGTTCGCCTTTTTGCAGGCTTGGCGTATTCTTTTCTTCTTTTTTAGATCTGACTTTTATCGGTGCTGTCTAACTTGCGGCGCGCTTTACTGCATTGTCTAGGTACACGTGGTGTTGGTGCTGGACGTGGTCCCGGTGTCAAAATCTCACCGATTACCTGGGATCCGCGTAAAATATTCCACGGAATTTCTCCGGTTAAGTTTACGAGCCCGTCTCAGGGCTCCTTCACACTGCGATACGAAATCGGCTCGCGAATACTTACCGTGAAGTTTCCACTCTTCAGCGTCTTTTGCTAGACTCGATGCAGACTGTTTCGATAATTTCTTGACCAATACCGATATGCAGCATACTGACCTACAGATGCTCGCGGCTGTTGTGGAAGGGTTGTTCCTGCTGGGGAGGCGCTCTTTCATCCAGGTGTAAGGTTCAGCCTATTTCTCGACCCTTATTTTGCCACTATGCAAACGGTATTTCATGACTCGTGCAGGATATGAGATAATAAACGTGCTCATACTTTTTCGATTTTCAAATAAAGCTGGATCGTGGCCGGTCGATTTGCTCAGGGTGCGTCAGCAATGGTTCTCCGTGGAACTCTGCCCTCTTTGTGATTTTCTCGCAAAATATTGCATCTCAAAAAAGTGTCTCCTTTCTGGGATGAAGCTGTGGCTTGCTGCTGGGCATATCAGGTATTCTCAGAACCGGACTTTGAACCAGCTATACCACGTCCAATATG